TTAGAAAAAGCCTTTTTCTGGACGGTGAGAAATGTTTGCCGACGTGGCAGTGATTATTAGCCCAGTGTTATTTTACCAAGCGGGTAAAATATATCCAGTTATATTTCAAAGTCGTTGAAATATCATCTCTATGTTTTAGTTGGCCTCCCACCGAGAGCCCACTAGTGACATTTTGTCTCCTTTTATTATCCCAACTTTCCGGTAGCTGTCTATAATGTTATAACGTCCATTTGCAGTGGGCGGTATAACTTTTTTTTTGTTTTTAATAAACCATAATAACACAAATGCGTGACTGTATCAATTGCGTCGTTGTATGAAATATTTTATCGCATATCAAGGTTTGTGGCAATCTGTCGTTGGAGCAGATGAGGTGTCCAATTTAAATTTATAAAAATAATTCATTGACAATCACCTGAACAACTATATATTGTAATATTTTTAATGCACTAGAACAACCATGAAATATGCATGCACTTATTCACTTAGAAAATGGTAAATATGTTCAAAAATTTAAAAATATAAGGAAGGGTTAAAAATTATGATAATAATACTGCAACAATTTACTCAGTATGAAAAGCACCAATAAATAATGTTCGTAAAATATTAAAATCGTATTCAACAAATACGTAGCTATCCAAACAAAAAATAAAAAAATTACACTTTATATATAAAAAAAAATGATTTAGTATTAGAAAAAATATAAGCAAAATAAATTTTTTATGATTCAAATATCATAGTATTGAACTATTGTAAAATTATCGAGTTTGGAATAATCCATAATTTTTCTCTTACATTTGAAATAAATATGAACATTTGAAAATCAGTTATAATAGTATTTAATATAACAAAAAAAACCACCTAAAATATTTGAAATAAAATTATAAATTTGTAACAGTAATATTTTGATGGATAAAAATTGTACCTCACTCATTTTTAACTCAGGATAAAATTCATTTATAATCAAAATTAAATAACTCGCGATCACATATTATGACTTAAATCTATGAATTATATACTAACACTGCTGTAGATATCAATACAATTATTTGTTTAGTTTATATTTTGGTTAATATTTTAGTCAACATTCAAATACACACCTGCATTTTGTATTACTTTCTTAACTACGATATCTTTTTTATTTATGATGAACATAATATTTAAATGCATGCACTCAAATATAATTTTGGAACGGTGACAGGATATTATTTTATAATTTGTATGTCGATGAAAAGTGTATCAATCGGTTTCATACTTAAAAAATAAAATTGAAAGTTACATTTCAAAATGGAGAATTTTAAAATTTTAATTTTTTAATTTTAACGTATTTTGTTATTCTTTCTGACACACGTTTTTTAATGGTTTTTTCTTCTATTTGACGAATATAGTAGAACTCTACAAAAAGGTTGGTCGTTTTCCGAGAGTGGCTGTGGTTGGGTCATCACAAAGCCGTAGTCGTACTCTAAGGGAAGTATCTCAATAAGAGGGTACATTCCATATTAACTCATAAAGTAGGAATTTTCCACCACAAACACTTTCGATCAAATATATTAAAAATACTGTTTGAGCATAATATTATCATCTTATGATTATTTGTGTTTTTCGTGGCGTTCCTGCGATACTGGTTTAACGCTATGTTAACATTCTATGTTAGCATTAGGTTTTAACAACACATTACACTATTCGTTGAAGAAGGACCTGTGATTTAGTTGAAATAATCGAAATTGTTCTTTGTTTTGTCAAATGTGTAGTGTGAATACTCTCGTCGTTCTAATTTATTTGCAATATTGTATTAAAAGACTCTGTAAGGATTTCCAAGTATTCGAATCACAATAAAGTTCCTATATTAATATAATACGTTATTCCTGAGTATTCTATTCAGATAATATCTAAAATAGTATCGAACATATTAAGGATTTTTTTTTAGATAAACACAAATGGAAGTAAATAATATTTACCTATGTGTATCATATATCATGTGTTTTTTAACAATAAGAAATAACTCAAACAAATCATTCATATGTTTTATAATAATGTTTAGAAATATTTTACTTTCATGTATTAATAATAGCATACAGTTATATAGCACTTTTATACAAGTGTTTGCAAACATTCCACGCCACTGATTCAGCATTTGAGTAAATAATAATAAACTATGTGTGTAATTCCTATGATTTAGATTTGTGATTGCATCTTCAAACATGCGAAGCGTGAAACAAATAGCAATCATTTTAATTTTATTCTAAGGAGACTATAATATTTCAAACATTGTTGTATTAATATTACAAAAGTTTGTTTTCAATATATAATTTTTTTAATCCATTACCTAGATGACCAAATTTAAGCTTTGTAATATAGGTGCTTAATGTTTATGTTAATGGCTCTGAGCAAAAAATATATAACATAAATATTAACATTCTTATACTGGTACTATACTAATAGCTTGGAAATTTTAAGTACTTTAAGTTATAGGTTAAACATACAATTTTGTTTTTTAATGAGAATACCTGCTTATTTATTTTTATCCATTACATTATTATTCAACCTAGAATTAAAAAAGATAACAATTACTATCATATAACTGGTTAATCATTTAATTTCATGGAATTATATTTTACTATGGAAACAAATAAAATGATTACATTTTTAACAGCAGAATTATGATAAAGTTAACAGTAGTTTATTATTTAGATTAACTATTAATTAATTAATAAGTTTCTTAAATGTTGGTTCAATTTTATTTCGACTGTCTACAATTAAAAATTCATATATAAATATTCCCATATTTTTTTTATTTATTTACGAGAGAGCTTTGACCCTTTAATCCCCCCTCCTTGTTCACAAATCCCATAATTTTTATCGAAAATGTTCAAATATTAAATATTTCAATACCCATTAGTCATTACTTTCTTTTTTTTCAATTATTATTTATTTTTCTAGTGACTTATGAAAGTGCCACAATTTTTTTACACACCTTACCCAGTGATTGATTTTAATAAATAATTTGATCCAGTTGAAAGAGTCCATAATTAAAACTTATGTAATAAATATGAATATTTACCATAGTTTTTTTTTTCAACAATATAAGTAAGTATGTTTTATTTTTGAATATTGAGCTGAGAGAATTGATTTTGCAATGATACGTGCGTTTGGTTTCTGTCTAACATCACTTTTTCTTGCACCAAAAACTCTTTTGATTTCTGACTATGGGAGAAGTTTTAAGTTTTAGGTATAGCAAATGGGATTCAGTTGGTTATTCGGGATGTCAAAAGTAAAAAAATCTCAGTACTTTAAAAAAAAATTAAAAAATTAAAAAAAAAACGAGCATTTTTTATCAAAATGGTCTTCGGCGAAATCGATTTTGTTTTTATGGCTTCTATTAAAAACGAATAGTTATTAGGTACTTTCATTACTCACCAAATTTTTATATTATAATTGTCTGTACATGATGAACATTTCTAAATGTTTTGATTGTGAAATATCTATGTTTTAATTTCAATAATAGTCGATAAAAAAAGGTTTTCTTGATCAAAACACTTAAAATGTAATTGAAGTTTAATTTCTTAACCTTTATGCATTATCATTAGGGAAAAATATTGAAGATTTTTTTTATAAGCATTTGAGCTCAAATATTGACAAAATTTGTCAAATTCACGAAAATTCACAAATTATTTTGTATGAAATTAAAAATATAAAACCAAGTTCCTTATAATATGTAATTCATATATAGACTTGTTATGTTTTATTATTTGTTAACTACATTAAATATCTACAAATAATTTAGAGTAGCAATTCTCAACTATCTCAACCTGAGGTTAAAAATCAAATTAAAAATATTTTATATTTAAAAAATTGTATTATATTATTCAATAAATCATAAAATGTTGTGTAGGTACTACTTACATAATTATAAATGTATTTGTATTGTTTTATTTGTATCCTGTGTACATAACATACCGCCCTCGCCCCACCCCACACATACTCCATAATAAAATTACTATTGTGTAAGATAAGATAAAAATATGCACCAGTGTGACCTAAGCAATAAAAATGTTGAGTTGGCGATATTTGAGTCAGCTCTTCATGCGCAACACTTCACAATTGAAATTTGCATATACTTATTTTATACCAAGAAGTAATACAATTATGATCACTATAGCTCATTTTGATATCTTGTTGTTTATAAGAACCATATGCATAAAAAATCTTGTTTTTACAATCTTATATTTTTTGACTAAAGAAGATTTTTTTTTTTTAAAGGAAAAAATTACTAAACAACAGCTATAGTAATATAAGTTATTAATGTACAGTAATTACTGACAGTAAGTAGTATAATAGTATTGTTCTGTAATCATACAATTATATAAGCCTTGCAAGACATAATATTTTCAAAAAAAACTAATAGGTATCTATAACCACAGCACCACGTTAAAATATTAATTTTATGATATTATATTTATATATGAAACAAATTAAATCAATTATTGTGTAGTAAATTCAATTTTTTTTTGTGTGCTCCAAGACATCATATGTCTCCAGAATTCAAGGACTTTTACAGTTTCGCTTAAAATAGTAACAGTTTGATTTTATCCAATACAACAGACTATGATAAAATGATTATTTCAACGTGAAGCAAACATAGTAATTTATGTACTAACTACAGACATTTGTACAACGTAATTCATTTATTAACACAAGTCCAGCTTGGTAAATGGCTGCCGAATTAAAATATTTAATACCATGTGAATCAAAATTTGACCCATGAATATATGAACAGATTCAATGTATTATACTAGTAGTTTAAAATCGTAAATGTCTATAGGCTAGAATTATTTTTGCAGACTTTTAATTTTCTAACTGAATGAAATTTAAAATAGTTTTTTTAACGATATAATAAGATATTTAATATAAATATGTAGGTACATTATACTACCAATATTGTATCAAAGCGACATGTATTCTGATGTTTTTTTTGTCTAACATAGTTGTGTTTTCTGTTGCAGGACTTCGATTCGGTACTAGTAAATGGCTCTTGTCAGATACCGGATCCATTGTACAAACTGATTGGATCGATTGTGAGCTTTTACATTCCACTAGGCGTTATGATACTCACGTACACGCTGACAGTCCGACACTTGGCTGCGAAGAGGCAAAATCTGCAGATTGGCTTCACGCACAATTCGAATCAAAGTAATTTCAAACAGAAATTTGTGTAATTTAGGGATCTAACTGATTAACTCTCATAAATTGCTAATTGATCATCTAGTGGTATAGCATGGCCAACACAACTACGACAATACATTTTTAAAAAAATATTGTATATCTGCGTTAAAAATATATTTTCAATCTTGAGTTAGTACAACACACTATACCTGTAAACATTGTTTGCTGAAAATTTGAGTTTTCAATCCACTCAGTTGTATGTAATACTTTTTATTCGTATTTTATTTGTTTTAAACACGATAAGAATTGTTGCTGAAATATCATAAAATAAGTATATTATGGAATTTATTCAGTTCTAAAAAAAATATTTCGAATAAAATATAAATAAATAATTTAACTTAGAGCGTTGACGAAAAATTAAAAAAATACATGAAATTGGCTATAAATAACTTTTCAATATTTATTTGAGATAAACAAAAATATATGAGAGGAAAACAACTATTTTGGCGTTATTAAAATTTTAAAGTTAATTTATACATTACAAAAACTCAATCTGGAACTTTTTCATTTAAGACTGTAATAAGGCATTGAAGATTATGACCAAAAACGTCGATTTGGTTCCTGCGATTGTGCGGTATTTTTTCACGTATCTGTGTTATATATACTAAAAACTAGGAAGGGAGGTCTGACAATCCTCATGTGCAACAAAAACTTACACACATTGTTGGTTTTTCAAATTGAATTCCGTAAACATAGTCTTGTAAGAAAATCAATCTAACTTAGTTTCTTAATGCATGATGATACGGAAAAGTAAGTTAAACTTCAATTCATATAGTACTTATAATATAATTCCCTTATGCGATACAAATGTTAAAGCTTTCAACAGCTTTACCATTACATTTTGGCCATCAATTAGGAATTGATTCGAAGACAACGTTATTTTAAGAGTGAAAAAATATTATGTTTTTCTGGAAGAAACTAAATCTCCATTTCCCTTCTCGTTTGACTAATATACTATTAACACGATAATATAAATATATTTATCACGATAGTTAAACAGGAGTCCGAAAAAATTGTTTTTCAAATCCGTCTTTATAATATAGGTATAATGCTAATTAATTAACAAATAAAATTATACTTCATATTATACTATAAATTCAGAATTCATATTCTAGTCTGTAAAACCTATTCTTTGTTCTAATCATACTCTTCACAACGACCTTCAAATCAAAACAATTTATGAAGAAGCCAAAATGTACTATGGTCGATTCTTTAATAAGCTCGCCTACGTTACTACAACCAATTTATAAAAAATGTGCACATTCCAAACCTTTCCAGCCACTCCCGATGCAGGCTAAAAAAAACATGGTTTTTGTGACCTCCTATAATATCGTGTCCAAATAACCATTGAATACTTATAATAAGTGATCAAATTGAAGTGTTACTAATGAAACCTTCCATCGATGTTTTCTTTTTGTTTTCTTACCACGCTATATGTATATGTCATTTATCAAATATTCTTATAATGATTTTTTATATAGATAGTTAATCTCAATTATAAAAATTATATATATTACAGTCTTACAACAACATGTTCGTAGCATACCTATTACTTAAGTACCTAACGTTTCGTTCATCGTATACGGATTCTTATTTACGTACATAATTACTTGTTTACGTTACCTATACGGCTATACTATTCACTAGTCTATCCTGAATCCTCTATCATAAAATCAGCAAATGTTCTACAACAAATTATTTTTACACCTCTACAGCAACTGGTAGTGTGCAGACGTGCAGTATACTAGTTTTACTGCTTTTGAAACCACTAAACATAATATTATTAAAGGTTTTAACGTTCAAACGATCTTTGGTTGTGTCATGAATTTATCCAATTAAATTTGTCCTAACAAAAATTTAGTCTTAACTAGTAATAAAATATGTTGGCAATATAACCGAACTTAAATCATCAAACTAAATCTCCTTAGTTTATTTACATTAAAATAGACCTATGGAAAACTTCCAACATGGAAGTATTTTATTGGTCGAAGACTTTAAGGTGAATTTTTTCACAAAGTGTTTTTTTTTTTTTGTTATTTTTAATAATTTTTAAAACGATAATTTAATTATAAAAATTCCATAATGAAAAAATCGGAAAGGATGATGAGAACTGGGTATTCTGTGATAATAGTTTCCAAGTGAAAAAAAACGCATTCAAGAAACGATTCATAGTTTACCTCGAAGTGAGTTACGCTTGCTGAAATTTCTAAAAGCAAATGTGTTAATGATTATAGTTTTTACTTTTTTTTATTGTGCTCAGAGGAACTACAGAAAATATTGAAAAATTACCTATTCGAAGAACAATAAATTATTCAGTTAAAAATTTCAATCATTAAAATTTTAAGGTGCAACCCAAAACGTGTGGAACATTTTTTTAACCCAAAAATGTGTAGGGAGTAGGTACACTGAATAATGTATTAATCGTATTCAAAATTGAAAACAAATCATTTTTAATCTGCAAAATTCATTCCACCTAACCTAACCTTTCTCGGAATACGAAGTCGTTGAGTGCCATTGTATAGTCTCACATAATGTATATTATATTATTATTTGAACGCTCTCTTGTTTTAGTTTGATTTCAACGTTAGATTAAAAATAGAATTTATGTTTGTTACATGTTTGCTTTTTTTTGGCGATCCAGCCATGATGACGGATATCTAAAAACGCGTGATATAATATGTGTTAACATCAAATGTCAGCTATCAGTTATTTTCAGAAATGACCATTCGTTATTTTCAACTTCTAATTCTTATAGATTTGTGTAAATCGGAACATTTCCTATAGACATGTTATCAATAAATTACTAAAATGAATAAGTAACCAGTTGCATGTTGACAATATTAATTAATTTATTAGCATATTAAGTACTTAAATCGACAAAACTATGTATTTTGTTATTATATATTATATTTACTTAACTATAAACATTTTTTATTTCATTCATTTTCACAAGGCAAACTGCTAGGCACTTCGATATTTAAATACATATATTATAGGCAAATACTTGTCCACCGGCCTTAGGTATTGACGGCCGTCAGTCATTACCGACATTGGAGAATGTATTTCTAACACACACATATATATATATATATATATAAAGGCTAGTGTCCTACTGATTAATAATCAGCTGAAAGCCGAACCTATTAAAATTATCGACTTGAAATATTGAGGAAAGATTAATATTATAATTTCACAGTGCACTGAGAAAGGATCTCTAAAATTTTGATTTTAAGCTGTTGAATCGGCAAAATAAACGTTTTACGTGTAAATTGTATGTCTGTATACATATTGTATGGCATGGCGGCGCGAGTAGGTATGAATTCTTCTGAGAAGTAAAGTTCTACAATCCATCTATATCTATCTATATATGTATATAAATGAATCCTTATTTTCCTTGGTAAGGGCATCACGGTTATACAAGTTAATTTATCATTTCTTAGTGCACATTTCACAGTATGTTCAATCAAAAAATTAATGAAAAGTTGTACAGTGCGTTTTTTCATAAGTGTTTATTCATCATGGTTAATTCAAAGAAATCACGCTTAATATTTTAAGCAAACTTAGGTCACATAACTCGCAATGCTACAAGTCAAAGATATACAAGAGCAAGTCAAACAAATAATTTGACGGACAAAAAGGTCAAGTCGCAGGTAGCTGGTAACCCGTGGTCCACATTATATGTATATAGGTATACAATTTACAGGTTTATTTTAATTAATAACTAATTTTTGGGGCAACGTTCTTAATTTTTTACAAGAAATTAGTATTTGTTTTATGTATTTGGCAGCCATTGGGCAGATTAGGTTTAAGAATGCATCGAATCGAATTTTCGCACATTGCAGCCTATCAAGATGGCTGAGTCGCACTTATAAAAAATGAAATAAAAATAATAAACATTAGTTATTATTCATGTAGACCATGCACCTAGCGGCGTTCAGAATAAACTGCATTACAACCTTACAATATCAAAAGCTAGTCCCAAATCGAGTTGGCATTTTTAACGGGGAACGAAGTGCATGCACGGGATCAGCTAGTAGTATTTAAGAGTGAAGCGTATTCAAAATGTAAATATTGTTTGAAAAATATGTGATAAAAATAATGTTTTACTGTGCAAATCTTACATTAAATTTTCTTACACAGTTACACAATCCTACTGGTCGACGTTAAGGGGTGCATTTGCAACGTGACAGAAATTTGCGAACTGATGTCCAATGATAAACTGAAAGATATATGACGTAATTAAACAACTGTTTTGTTGGAAAACGGTTATAGGCATTTAACTAATACCTATTTATTATACGTAATAATAAGGTATTTGAGTAGAAACAAATGTACTAAAACTGTGTATGACTCGAATTGTTGAACGTTTTATTTTCCAAAATGTTCATACTATTATCACGAAAAAACTAGTATCAAACTTTCATGCCCAACGACAAGCTCTTATTGAACGAGATGACATTTTGTTCGGAGAACATACGGCTACTGATTTCCCGCGACCTTACAGCTACAATGGTTTGAAACTTTAAAACGTACAGAAAGTAAACTATATTTTTTCCCTTTAAAACAAAGTCCAGAATATATTTTAAAATGCCTACATACACACATTAAACATAAAAACATTAAACGTGTATTATCCAAATATATCTTAAATCTCTTATATTTTTGTGTTCGTTTAAAATAACATTTATTTTAAATCCAAATATCGTGTCAATTTTAATAACAAAAGTTTGTTATAAGTTAAAATGATTTGAACCTAAGAATATTCGAAAACTAAATAATAATAATTAATGCCGTACCTACTGAGTTCTCGTTTCGGTCATTAAGATAACAAATAACATTTTTTCACTTAGTTATAATAAAAAAATTTAAAACAAGGGTTAACGAGAGGCGATCATTACAAAGAATTAAGAGAAATGGGTGTGGACGGCTTTCTAACCTATAGCTATAATAATATAATTAACAAGAGT